GCTCTATTTTCCTTTCCTTCAGAAGGTTTTCATTTCAAATTTTGGTGACATAAATGACCAGTTATGTTTTGAAGAATGTACTTCAAATGTTTTTGCAAGAATGGCTGAGCTCCTAAATTGTCTTTACCTTTACCAAGGAGCTGTATGATAACAACTTACTCTCCTTCCAAGCCAATAGTATTCCAGAGCGAATCTTCCACCCGATTTGGAGCACACTGGAATTGACAGCAAGATTGAGAGTTGCAATTATGTTAGGCATTAATGCATAGCTTATGTACATTCTAGTACAAAATTTCTTTGCAGCAAGACAAAATACATCTTAAAGAGTAAATACACTGCCCAGTAAATTGTTTGCATAAAGGGAAGGTCCCCAGCCAATCGAGCAGTCTTCCTAGCCTGGTCTACAAGCACTGCTGGCACAATGCAGCAGTGACATTTTTCTTGCTGGCTCTCCTCTTGTAGAAGTCTCTGGCCAAAATATCCCTTTGCATTGAGTTTCAAATCATCCTGCCACCCTGCTGCCATTGCTTCTGTTTAGTCACTTTGCTGTGCAAAGGCTAATTCTGCCTTCCTACTTCATGACCAGTGTACACTTTCACGTCACAGAATCACAGAGTATGCCGAGGTGGAAAGGACCCACAGGGATCATCGAGTCCAACCCTTAGCCCTGCACAGGACCATCCCCAAGAGTCACACCATGTGCCCAAGAGTATCACCCAAATGCTTCTTGAGCTCTGTCAGGCTTGCTGCTGTGACCACTTCCCTGAGGAGTCTCTTCCAGTGCCCAACCACCCTCTGGGTGAAGAACCTCTTTCTAATATTCAACCTAAACCTCCCTTGACACAACTTCAGGGTTGTGTAACCCACAGGCCCTGTAACTGGTCACCACAGGGTGATCACTGTCTGCCCCTCCTCTTCCCTCAGGAAGTTGTGGGCTGCAATGACGTCTTCCCTCAGACTCCTCTTCTTCAGACTGAACAGACCAAGTGCCCTCAGCTTCTTCTCATACGGCTTCTCCTCAAGGCCCTTCACCATCTTCATTGCCCTCCTTTGGACAATCTCTAATAGCTTTATGTCTTTCTTATATTGTGGTGACCAAACATCCTCTGAGTCAAACAGAAGTTTGAGAGGGGTTCATGGCTTACAAGGGCCTTTGAGAGAGGTAAGAAGCTGAAGAGAGTTGAATTCAGGATAAACACCCTTCTTAGCAGACACTGAGAACAGATTTTTTTCAACAGATTTACCTGTTGCTGTACTTTACTTGAAGTGATTATACACCAAGGAATGCCAGTATTGTTTTTGTTTTGTTGATTCCTTATCTCCTAAGAGAGCTATTCTAGCTCCAGAATTTATGTGCCTGGTGCAGAATTTGCTGTGTGAGATTCTTTGGGTTATGTGGGAAGTCAGATTTGATTATTTTAATAATAATTTTTAGCCAGTTTGGAATATCTAGTGGGTTGGGCACCTCTTGCTTTTTCCAGTGTATACAAGAGAAAGCTCTGGAAAGCAATCCTGTCAGTCCTAAATGAATTTGTGTGACTTAAAGCACTGGAGTTCAGACCATTTCCCATAAATTAAATGAGAAGTATTGGTTAAGTTAGCACAGAGTGTGACAAAACTGCAACACATCATGTCATTCGACTGCTTTACACAGTGACTGGAACATCGCCAGTTTATTTAAACTTTGTACATCTATTTGAAGGCATGTCTCTGTGCATGCTGGCTATTTAATCCTTTAAGCTTTTATGGTCTTTTATTTAGAAATGTAGCCAACTTGTTAACGTATGTACTCTAACTTCTGAATGTTTGTTTGAGCTTAACACCTTATTTTGATTTGATAGTGATAAAGAATTAAAAAAATCTTCCTAATGATTTTGGAGTTCGGGGTTATTCTTCTTTTTTTTTTTTTTTTTTTTTTTTTTTTTTTTTTTTTTTTTTTTTTTTAATTTCTGTTCTGACATTAATGTTGAACTCAATGCAGTATCTGTTCTAAAGAGTACAGGGAATAATGCTTGGGAATTTAGTATGTTCTTGTTCTGAGGGCTAAAACTCTGCAGTTGTGCTCACTTATGAGTCATTTCCCTAAAATGAGCAGAGTGTTCAGCAAACTTTATAAATTATGATGGATTTGGATGTAAAGACCTGTAGAAGAGCAAAAGTACTCATTATAATAGCAGAGAGATCTAGAAGTGGCACTGACTGTTAAAAAGAGAAGATAGTTCAATTGCCTGCACCGCAGTTACAAGCAGTAAAGACTAAGAGAGCAAGAACAGTGTTTGGGAGTATTTCTTTGGGTCTCTAGGACAGCAGCTGAGAAGTCACCAAAGATGTCCGTACAATTCTGACCTCTCAGTGCAAAATATATGTCGTGCCATGGTGCACTGTGGTGTGCTGTGCTGTGGTTGCCGTTCATCAGGTACATAAACCTGCAGCAGCAATTATGTGGGCTCTGTAGAAGGTGAAGCTGGACTAGAATAAAATGCACGTTTTAAAGGCAGGAACTTTTTTCTGCAGACATGCTGTCCCACTTGGTGATGGTGGTCAGGGCAAACTTCTCATGAATGTGAAGACTGAGTAATTTCTAATTCTCTTTTGTTCTTGCAGGTCAAGCCGGTTACTCACAGTAGAATCACTGTGTCAGCACGGTTTCGAAAGCCACTCCAGGAGCCCTACACTATTTTGTAAGTAGCATTTTCAGTTAGCAAACTGCCATTTCAGAGGTGGTGTGTTCATTTCAGGTGAGTTTTGTTTAAAGTGCTCCTCCGAATTATTTTACTTTGCTTTGTTTCAGCCTGATTGCCAACGGAGACCTTATTAGCCCTGCAGTGCGCCTCCTCATTCCCAGGAAAACACTGAATCACTGGGATCATATTCTTGAAATGGCTACAGGAAAAGTTACCCTCAGAAGTGGAGCTGTTCACAGGTATCAGGAAGCTGATTATTTGCAAAATACATTTGATACGCCTCGTTGTGTTTTTAAGACTCCATGAGTAGATAGGATGGATTATTCCTACTTCTTGGGAAATTCCACTATAAGAAAATTGAAATACATCAAAAAGCCACAAAGTGGAAATAGATTAACTGTAAGTAACCTTTGGGTTTCATTTCAACTGCTATTTAAAAAAAGAATAACATGAATTTTTTTCAACTGTTATTTCTTATTAGTGTTTATTAATTAAATATTTAGTTGCCAGGCCTGTAATAGTACAATAATAATGCAATATATTTAGTATACTGATAAATAAGCTACATATTATAGTAAAATAAACGAGCACAATAAAGGTGAAGATGTTTGGAATGTGATATACATGCGATCTGTGTTACCTTTTAATTTTTAATAGTTCTTTAAATTAATTGGATTAAACAATTTAGAGGAAAATATTATGTATTCCTTGGGTTTGTATACCTGGGCTAAGACTAGGGTGTGCTTTATACTCAGTCTGCTCAGCCTCCTAATAAAAGCCAAGGCCCAAGTTGTAGCTGGGAGTTTGCCAGTTCCAGTATCTCATCTGTTCTGAGTTGTTGTGGTACCTCAGGAATAGGAGGTGACCTGTTGGCTAGGTAAGTTTCAGTCCCTTAAGGCTTTTACAATGTAAAATAAGTTATCTATTAGGTGGTTGTTACGAGTTTTAGAGGAAAATGATATATGTGATGTCCGTGAGGAACGTTGCAGTGTAAGTGGGCTGCCAAAGTGTATAGAAGCAAATTGCTGACATTCCAGTGCTGCCCCATGCAGAGCACATTACAGAAATCTGTTCCTCAGGTGGGAAAGGGTCTCCTATGGAAAAATCATTCTTCAAAGGTTATGCAGTGTCTGGGGCTAAGTTTGCAAAACCTTTCTCAAATCGGTGAAGATAAGGTAGTCTCTCAGTTCTTCTGATTGCGTTCCCAGAGCTGATACAGGTGAGAAAAGATAATGCTCTCAGTGGATGATTAGCTCTTATCTAGTTCTTTCTCTTAGCCCCACATTTCTTTGCTCCAATTAACTGGCTACTTAGCACTTTTACTTGCAGTAAAGTAAACCTACACCTGTTGCAGCTTTCTGGATCTGATTCTCAGCTGGTGTAACTCAGAAGTGAACAAAGCAACAACGTGATACCAATTCTTTCTGCACTCAGGTTGTCTACAATTTAAAAATCTTTCATTTTATTGTCGCTCGTTGGTGTCACTCTTTGGTGAAACTGAATGATACACATGGAAGCATTTATAAGTAGGACTTTTTTTGAGAAATTCCCTTCAGAGCTCAGTTTTAACCCTTTAAAAATAAGATAATGTACATGATATTTCGAATTATTTAATGTTTTCCCTTTGCTGGTTTTCTATTAACTCAGTTTTCATTTTCTTTTCCTTAAAATACTGGAAATACATAATAAATATGTTAGTTAAGTGATCATTGTTCTCTAATAAGTTACACATTAACTGTTGCAGCTTACTGAAACTATGTTAGCATTAGGAGAGGTCTGCTAAGACCACTGATGCTGGAAGATATGATTTCTCCTTAAAGAAGGATAAGTGGACTTATGAGAACCTACATTATGTATATGGAAGTTTTTCTTTTCTATGTTATTAAAAGACTTGCAAATCTGCCAAGTCTTAGGCAGTTTCACATGTGGCTTTTTAAAAAAGAAATTACTGATCACCCCCGTAAGAATAGGGATGTAAGGAAGAACTATGAGAGAGGAGACAATGAGAAAGCAGCTTTTCTGCTTGCCAGATGGGGATGAGGTACAGCATGGCCACGGGTGTGAGGTACAGCAACGTGATGGACAAGCCTAAGATGATGTTTCAGGCAGTGGCCTGATTTACAGAATATGTTTCCAGCCAGCCAGTCATTGACTCCACCATGGTGAGTATGTAGCTCTTGCCTTAGCGTGTTCATGGCAGTGGTCCAATGTTGTCAATTTGCCAAGCCTCACCATACTGGAAGCCCAGCCACTGCCCTCTATTCCAGGGGAGATTCTACCCATCTTTGGGTAATGTACTGTTACCAGATTATTGGAACATGATGCAGGGGTGCTTTGAACCACCTTCCTCCACATGGCCATTGTGCAAGGAACATCCTCTGGATCTTTGGGGTAGTCATCCCTTCTTAGGTTACTATAGGTCATTTCCAGCACTGCTAATTCTCTCAAGTAGTGGATATCTTCATCTGCAGTAGCCCACTTTCCTGGGGAGCTCATTAGATCTTCCTTGAATGGATACCTTTCCTTTATGCTTAAGAAGAACTGTCTCCAAAGACTGCAAATTGTTCTCTCCTTTCCAATTCCTCTTTCAATTTTGCAACCTCTAGAAAGGGATCCCAGCTGTTGGGCTTCATGACCTTCCAGTTGCTGACTATCAAAAACCCACAGTCGTGTTTGTATGTACCCCTGTATACCTGCAAATACCATGCAGATGTATAAGCAATTCTTAAACTGTGGTACACTGATTTGTTGTTTTTTTTCCCCTGAGTTCTCCATAGCAAAATGCAATCTGGCAAAACACCGTGAGACTAATTCAGAAGTAGGCTCCTTGCTGGTTTTCAGATTGCTCAGTTTATTTTCATTGTTTGTGTGTAACTGATGTTGACTGTGTGGTAGTGAAACATAAATTGCTCTTTGGATTGCTGGCATGCCTGTGAAATGTTTGCACTATAAAGTAAATTTGAGTGATACAAATGGGGTGCTTCAGAGTTAGCATACCTCTTCAGAAGGAAGCAGTAATGTGATCAAGATTTTTTTAAGAGCTGCAATTTCACCATCCAGAACTTCCAGTCTGCATTTAGAAACCCTAGATGCTTCCTTACCTTCCCTGTGGCAGGAGACACATATTATTAGGATACTTTCACGAGGTTAATATAAGAAAGACATGGAGATGCTGGAGCAAGTGCAACAAAGGGCCAGGAAGATGAAAGGTTGAAGATACTTTTCATGTGAGGAGAGCTGGGACTCTGAATCCTGAGGTAGAGAAGTCTCAGGGAAATCTTTTAAATGTGTATAAATGCCTGGTGGAAATGAGTGAAGAAGTCAGAGCCAGGCTCTTCTCAGTGGTACTCAGTGACAGGACAAGATGCAATAGGCACAAACTAAAGTACAGGAAATTCCTGAACAGAAAAAAAGAAACTGTATTTACTGTAAGGTCATCAATTATGGGAGCATGTTGTCCAGAGAGGCTGTAGAGTCTCCATCATGGCAGGAATTCAAAAGACATCTGGGCACAGACCCGAGCAACTTACTTTAGTTGCTCTTGCTCTGCATGGAGTGGGCGGACCAGGTGGTAGCCAGAACTCTTGTTCAACTGCAGATATTCTGTGATTCCTGGTTCTATAAAGTGCATGGGTTTTTTCTGCTTTTATTCAAGGTTATGCCACCATATGTACCAACTTAAACAGTTTTTTGTCTATTAAACGTAAATGTTTTGCACATTATATAGAACAGGGGTGCACTCAAGGTAGGCTCTTGCTATTCTTTCCAAAATGTTTGTTGTGTAGGTGTATATATCATTTTATGTCTCTTTGCACTGTGTTGAAATTTATGACTAACACATACGGTAGCTCATGTAGAAGGCTTCCAGAAAGGCATTTAAGACAGCCATTAAATATTCCTGCTTGTAAGACTTAGATGAAAGCTGTTATTGTTGACTTTTAAATTAAACGTAAATATTGTTGAGTTTCAGAATATGCTTCATAGGAAAGAGCTAATTTATTATTGGATGTTCCCTCTTATTGTTTTGGCCATCCTTAAATCAAATCACAAACTCCAGAATGAAGTCAATAATGTGTTGCCACCTGCCCCCACCCCATCTCTCCCTGCCAATCCCTGATGAATTTCCTTCTTCTCAAACAGGAGTCGTAGTGGTAAAAATCTACCTGGTGTAATATACATATTATTATTGGTGTTATTGGTAGGTGCCTAAGAGACACAGCTTCTTGTTATAATGTAGTGCTGTATTTCCTGCTGCTTCCAGCCTTGCCCCACCAGGTACAGCCATTTTCCAACCTTCTGATTAATACAGTATAGCAATATAAGGACAATGTTATCTCTTTGGTCTGTGTTAGGTGAACGTGTCCTTGGTTTTTGGGTGGGAATTCCCTGTTCTTCCCAGAGAGCCCAGAGCAAAGACGGAGGGTGGAACTTGGTATGAAAGGGGGTCAGGAACTCATGGAATAGATCTGTTCCAAGGTATCAGGGGAAAGACATTGAAGATCTTATAAGTACAAGGCCATTTATTTAATCTTAGAAATTACGAGAGTATTTCATCTATCATACCACTTCATTAGTTTTATATAACCTCTGATTTAAGTAATTATTTTGCTCTATTTTTCCTTGGTTTGGGGGGTGCTTTTTTGTAGCTATTGATCATTGCATGGCACACACATTACGTTATTGGGTTTCATAGCTGGAAATTCAAATTAAGCATTTTCGTATTTTTCAGACTTTACACCTTAGATGGAAAACTTGTTCAGAATGGGTCAGACCTGGAGAATGGGCAAATTTATGTTGCAGTGGGTAGAGAAAAGTTTAAGAAATTGCCGTATGGTGATCTGCTGTTCAGCAAATCTACACTGAAAAGACCTCAGGGGTAAGTTCTAAAAGTGTGTGATATATTTTTTGTGTGTTTGTGTGTGTCAGTTTGTTTACAAAGTGCCACCAGTAAAGTGCAAAAGATGAGTGAGTTAGTATGGATGCAAAACTCCAGTGGTAAATTCTGGGAAAGTTGAGGTAACAAAAACAAAAGCAAAAATGGGAATTCAGAAGACCAGTTCATCTCATAAATGTTCCCTTTGTCATGTATCACAAAATTACTGTCAGAGAAAGGATTATTTTGACTTGGCTTAATTTATTTTTTTCCTGGAAAAAAAAAAAACAAACAAACAACTGAATGAGACTAGGTGCTGCTAAAGCAGTTATATACTTTTGCTTAGTAACATTTTGTGGAATTTCTACTGCCTTGAGATTGCTTTATGTTTGGATCCATTTTTTGCAGGATAGAATAGTCACTTGATAGAGTCGTAAACTGGGTGTCTGTTAGGAGAAACTTGTGCTTTTCATATATTTATATTTGGAAAACATGAAAATTTGGAGTTATTTCTTTGAAATAAATGTAAAGAATGGAATTTTGTCCCATAAATTGGTATAGTTTAGAGAATTTACCCAAATTCTGCATATGAACTAGCATGTAATGTATATTTCTTTTTTTTTTTTTTTTTTTTTTAAGCGAACAGCTAGTCAAGAGTGTGAATAACTTGAAAGTATTTTGGGAAACAACATTTGCAACTAATGAATTTAAGATAGTGAAAAGTTACTTTCATCAATTATGTAAACAGTTTTGTTGAAATTGCTGGAACTTTTCATTGCAGTAGTTGCAAAGAGCATTCACATAATAATTCATTGAATACTGCCCTGTAAATTAATGGCATATAAAATATGCATTATGGGGAGACGTAATGCACTTGTGTGAATAAGTTAATGGTTATGCATTATAGTCTAGTGAACAGGAATGAGTGATTCTTAATAAAAACATGCAGTGGAAAAAAACAATTAGTTTTGTCCCATGGCCGTCTTGGTGTTACCTGACTTGATTATTGATGCATAGTGCCTGTAATGCTGACAGTGTACCCAGATCTGAGATATGGCTTATTTCTGCAGTTCCAAAGCCTCTGCACTACCTCCAATTGTGGGAACTCGGAAGTCTAAAGGCAGCGTAAGTATCAAGTTTATAATTTCGCTGAATTCTGGAAAATGGAAAGTTCCTGTCCTTTGTGTTCTAATTAAATCTGTAAAGAAAAAAACTTGGAGCCAGCTGGTGGTATGTGTATTAAAGCTTGATGAATCTGTAGCTATTTGCAGTGTAAATTACACAAAAGAAATCATAGGAAATATTATTGCAGTAATGGTTGCTGTGTTTTTTTATAAAACCTTGAATAGCAAAGATCAGCCACTGCCTTGAGGCCTTTCGTATAAACATGATCAGATATATTTGTGTATTTATTTATTTACTTATTTATTCAAGTTATATACCTAGAGGAAAAACACAGAACTTTTTACAAAACATCTTGCAGAAAATGGTGTTATTGCACTCTGAGTCCGATTAAGGCCCTAAACTGGTTTCCAATCTGGTGTGTTTTGTCATAGGTAACCATTAAATACAGAGCTTCATCCTCCACTGCTTTGTGTCCCGTGTAGCTATTTTTATTTGTGCAAAATGAGTCATAGAATCAATTAGGGTTAGAAAAGACCTCCAAGATCATCAAGTCCAACCTTTGACCCATCAGCACCACATCAGCTAAGCACTGAGTAGTAGTACTAAGTGCAACATCCAGTTATTTCTTGAACACTTCCAGGAGTGGTGACTCCACCACTTCCTTGGGCAGCCTGTTCCAATGCTTAATCATCCTTTCAGTAAAGAAATTTTTCCTTATGTCCAACCTGAACCTCTCCTGATGCAGCTTGAGGCCATTTCTTCTTGTCCTGTTGCTAGATGATTGGAAGAAGAGGCTGACCCCCACCTTACTACAACAAGAGTCCTCTGTGAATTTAAAACAGAGGCAAAAGGGAATTTAAGTGTCTGTTTCCACCAAGTCTGTGCAAGTGCTATTTACTGTACAAGTCCATCACTAAAATTGTGGTAGTTGATCATATCTATTCATTGTTTACAAAACAAACAAAAACAAATCCCTGGAGCCACTGAAAAGAAATAAGCGATAAAATATATAAGTATCTGTTCCATTCTGTTGGAATTCAGTAGAAGATAAAACTTCAGTAAAAAAACACACTTTCAAATGTTGTTTGGTTTTGAAATGTGAACTTTGCATTTGTAAAACCAACTCATTAAGAGTTCTAGCTTCCTGCCTCTTCTCCTATTGCTTAACAACAGGTACAGAAATTTATTTAATGTTCACTTCTACTGCATTAGGATTGACGCTTGATAACAAGTGTCAAAACTTAAAGAAACAGGAATGTGCATTACTGCTCTAAATATCTAATGCAACACTTGAACTGGTATGAATCATGCAATTGTTTTCTTCAATTTGGTATTTACACCTCTTTAGTATTATTTCTTGGGAGTAGCAGTCTCCAGTTTGAATCCAAAGAGATATGAATATTGCCGTGTACTCATTTCTTTTTATAGAGAAAGGACGAGTGGTAGATCTGATGGTATTGGTAGATAAATGCTAAATTAGATGGTAAAAGCAAGATGGTATTTAAGTAAAATATTTTTAATAGAACTGATTTCTGCTGTTTATATGAAAACTAGAAGAATCACATAAAATGTAATAATGTATGCAGGATTTTAAAAGAAATGTGGGATTTTGTTCAGGACTTATTTTTCTGAAATATTTTAGTTCTGTGTACTGTCACCTCTTAACTTTAGCACTGAGGTGAAAGAAATGAAAAGCCCTTCTGGTGTGCAGTTTTTAAAATGGCATGAATTGCTCAGGCAACTACACTAAGTGGCACTATGAAGTAGAATATACTGATCTTACGTCATTCAGGTAAGTCTGTGGTAAGGTGAACTGTTCCAGATACTGACAAGGTTTTCTGCCTTACCTGTTTGAGTGTTTTGTTGTTATTTGGAGTGTTTTGACAGAACTGGATTAGAAAGAAACTTCTGAGGGGAAATGAAGAGGGCGTTCAGTTGCTAAAGTCTTTACACAGCCCAGAGCAATACAAACAGTGCCCTAAAGGGCTGCTAAATACAGTTCAGTTTTTTGCTGATGTTGATTGTGAACAAGATCTAGACTGATGAAAAATGTGCATGAATAATAAAATCCCTGGCTAGAACACCCAGGATCATACATCAAAGCTGTAAAAATAAGGACCAGGTTTCTGGTTCTTTTTCTAGAAGAGCACAGAGCAAGCAGGGGAACTGGCTGATGTCCTTGAAGATGATTCTGAGGTGATATGTGCACAAAACCCTTTCTTAGTGTCTACTTGGCAGAGTTACTGCCACAAAAAGACTGTCTTTCTTCTCCAACTTCTCTTGACACTTAAAATACTGCCCATGTCTCATTTAAACAGATAATGATTTATTAACAACTTATATATGTTACATCTTGTGACTTTCCACACATATGGAGGAGATATAGCTGTATATAATATGCATGCATGCATATATTCATCTAGCAATTTTTTTTCATTAAATGAAGCGTTATTTTCTTCCGATAAATATGTTATTTTGTCCAGGGAGTTGTTGAGAAGAATTTAATTAGTCAAATCAGACAGTAAGGTGATGGGACAGTTACACTTGCTTTTCTGAATAATTTAAGATATAACTTGAATGTACTGCTTGTAAGTTAATGTGCTTAATACCTGATACCAGTCCTTACTGAAATTAAAAAAAATAAACTTCATAATTTGCATCAGTGATAGTTACGTACAGTTCTTTCCAGGGAAATGATCGGCAGTCTAAATCTACTGCTGGATCCAGTGACCAGGGAGAAAACTCTTCCTCGCCTCAGCTTCCTGAAGGGAAAGACAAAAAAAGCCAGAATCCAGAGAATTCTGTGTCCAGACAACACTTTTCTAGCAACTCTGCAGAAGTAAACCAGACAGAAACAGCCTCCACAGTAGTCCTTCAATATAATGGTCAGTACTGAGATATCTTTGGTTAAAATGGTGAAACAATAGAATAATATGTTACATAGCTCTTGAATTGTCTATTTTCTCTGGTCAACTGAAATAGCAAAAGTTCCTTCTGCTTAGGAAATGCACCTATGAATAACTGCTACACTCCTAGCTTCGTTTACATACCATAGGAGGCTCTGTGTGATTTTTAGTATACCTTGGAAGTTAAGCTGATGTGGTTCTATCTCTATGCTTTCGGCCAAGCAAAATAAAAACCGTATTTTGGTTGTTTTCCCACTGTTCTGCCCTGCAAGAAGGAGAAAAAAAAGGAACTGGTCTTTTCCAAGGACACCTTCTGTCCCTGGTGATTCCTGTGCTGCCTGGCTCTGTGTAACAAAATGACTACACCCTGGGGGAATAACACAAACACAAACTCCAGTTAGTGTAAAGCTGCTGACACCAGTCATACAGCAGAGCTGTACTGACCCTTTCAGAATTTGCCCCCCACTGTGCTGTGACAGCAGGGACAGCAATATACAAATTTAGTTGCAAACATCCTCTTTGAGAGACTGTTTTTCTTATCTTAAAGTGTGATATTCTTCTTCACCCCTTTTTTTTTTTTTTAAGTGCTAAAAGTCTGACCCCTCACTGCTGCCATGCTGGCAGTACTAAAATACTCTGAATCTCTATGTGTGACTATTAAGATTTAAGTCAGACCTCTCACCTATTTTTTTGGGCCTAAGTATTTTTAAGTAAAGTTTCTACAGGTATTTTCTGGAAGCAAACAGCCCCCTCTTGCTGAGGTGAGAGAAGTTCATTCTTTGCTTTTGTCAGACTTGCATTAATTTATCAGATGTTTCCCACTGCCTTCTTTCATTTCCCAGTGGAGAGAAAAGTCCTAGAAGGAGCAATCATTTCTCTGTCCTTTCAGCAGGCAGTGATTAAGAGTCAAATCTTACTTTGGTAGACAGCAGACAAATTTAGGGAAGTATTTACCTCTCTCTATTCAATGCCACTGCTGCTCCACCTGCTGACAGAAATAGTTCGACAGTCACCAAGTTTATTGAAGAAGAGACTGCTTCCTTTTCACTTCAGATTTTCCATGCTTTGTGAGTCTTGCATAACTAGAAGAAGCTCTTCAAAGGCAACAGATTCTCTAGTTTAAGTGTATGTTAGGAGAAGCTCTTTGTTCTTTCTGTGGTCCTCTATTTTTCCTCCATATATAAACACCAGATAGTAAAAGTAGGAATGGGCAGCAGTAGCCAGTAGCGTGTCAGTCTTTTCTCCCACGTACCAAGTAACAGGACAAGAGGAAATAACCTCAAGTTGGGCCAGGGGAGGTTTAGATTGGATATGAGGAAAAATCTCCTCACAGAAGGGTTTGTAAAGCATTGGACCATGCTGCCCAGGGAGGTGGTGGAGTCACTATCCCTGGAAGTGTTCAGAAAAGTGTGGATGTGGCTCTCGAGGACATGGTACAATAGTGAACATGGTGGTAGTGCTAGGGTGACAGTGGACTTGATGATCTTGAAGGTCTTTTCCAACCTTAGAATTCTGTGATTCTAACTCTTGAGAAATTAAAGGAAAAAGTCTTTTCACTTCTGACCCTGTGTGGGAGCTCCACTGTAGTTAGAACTTAGGTAGTTTGTAGTGAAGTAGTTAAAAGAAAATGCACTGCACTGACCACAAATGGTCATCTCCCACGAAATTGGGATTCTCTTCATGGTCATCTCCCACGAAGTTGGGATTCTCTTCATGGTCATCTCCCACGAAGTTGCATTCTCTTCTGATCACACCTCAATATGGAGTGACGTGAAGCACAGGCCAGGCAGGCTGTAAGAGCTGTGAGCTGCCTCTTGCCAAGCCAGCCCTCAGTGTCAAAGATTGTTCTGTATTTCTGTCCTTTACAGTTTGAATTAACTGAACTGCTGTGTGATTCGTGACAATGTTAAACTTACTGCCAAAAGCGTACTATTTTGTGATTTGGTAGCCTGTTTCGCTGTTCAGTTCTTTAATTTTCTTTAGCTGAACATTTTTCGTCCATGGGACTATTTGTTGAGTTACATATAACACAGGAGCTTGATTAAGTATTTTCTAAATTACAAATTATCTATCTGCAGGTGGTAAGTGGAAGCTGATTGATGTACATTTTAGAATGGAGGTAGGCAGTGGAGTAGTCCCCTTCAAAACCTAGAGAACCTCATCAGTCAAATCAGCTTTATGATCCCACTGACCACAGCTCCATCAGTGGAGGATCTGAGAAACAAGTAGATGTGTTGAAGTAAGCGAAGCCTGAAACATTCTGCCCTCATCAGCACTGGCATAGATTTTATGGTACATCATAGAAGAGTCAGATCAGCAGCCTTTAGCTCAGAAGCTTTAGGTATGTTATCAGTCCTATCACTTGTTGGTTCCTTTATGAGGAACTTTGTCTGTCACGTCCTCGCCAATGCCAGTTTTTTTCAGAAAACAGTGTTCTTCACATCCTCAGAATGTTTAACTTTGGGATTTGAAGCCAGTCAGGCTTGTCTCAGCAGGCTTCAACACCAAAAGCAGTGTGACTCCCCTTCTAGTGTTTTACCCCCGCTTTGGCAGAGCATCCTGCTACATCTTGTACACAGCTCTCTTTTCCAGTTATTTGATGATGCTTTCCCTTGAGTCCATGTGGCCCTTTATTAATTTTATCTGACTTCGTCTGTTTACTTTCCATCCCATCTATTGGTCTTTTCTCAAGTAATCCTTTCTGCCTGTTTCTGATTCACCAGGTTCTGAAGGTCTGGGTTCAAACCTCTGTTTCTTAGTCTTTTTGGCTGATTTTTGGGCAATTACTTGGGCTTAGATCCCTTCTGCAGTCAGTGAAACATCTACATGAAGAGAACTATGTGTAACAGGAGGCAGTTCAGCCCTCCTAAACTGTTCCCACCTCTCTGAAACTTCCTCCATGTGCCTAAAGGGTATGTCATAGAGCAGCTATGGAAATACTTGGTTTGCCAAGGCTCTTGTGGAGTTACTGCATAGGGTCAGAGATGGTGAGTGAGAAGACGAAAGCTCTTCTAGCTTAATTCTCCACCTGGTTATCACAAGCCTTTTCCTTTTATCGGCTTGGGAGCAGGGTGGATGTAGCTTTTTTGTTTGTCTATTTTTCTCTTCCTTGACAGGGCAACCTTGATTATGTGTATAGACTAGGAAACAAGGGGCTGTAGAGCAGCCCTGGGGAAAGAGACCTGGGGGTCCTGGTCGATGGCAAGTTGAATATGAGTCAGCAGTGCCCTGGCAGCCAGGAGGGCCAACCGTGTCCTGGGGTGCATCAGGCAAAGCATCACCAGCCGGGCCAGGGAGGGGATTGACTTGCTGTGCTCTGCACTGGGGTGGTCTCTCCTTGAATATTGTGTGCAGTTTTGGGCACTGCAATATAGGAAAGACATGAAGCTCTTAGAGAGTGTCCAAAGGAGGCAACAAAGGTGGTGAAGGGCAATGAGGGGAAGCCACGTGAGGAGCAGCTGAGGTCACTTGGTCTGTTCAGCCTGGAGAAGAGGAGACTGAGGGGAGACCTCACTGCAGTCCACAACTTCCTTGTGAGGGGAAGGAGAGGGGCAGGTGCTGGTTTCTTCACTCTCATGACCAGTGACAGGACCCAAGGGAACGGCATGAATTTGAGTCAGGACAGGTTTAGGTTAGATATCAGGAAAAGTTTTTTCAGGCAGAGGGTTGTTGAGCACTGCAAGAGCGTCCCAGGGAAGTGGTCACAGCACCAAGCCTGAGTTTAAGAAGGGTTTGGACAGTGCTCTCAGGCATGTGGTGTGATTCTTGGGGGTGTCCTGCGCAGGGTCGGGAGGTGGACTCGATGATCCTGATGGGTCTCTACCAGCTCAGCATATTCTGTGATTCTATTACTTTATTCAAGTCATAATTCATAAACGTGTTGCTTTCTTTTGGAGTGCTTTTATTGCTCCAAGTCATTATGCGAGTGTGAAATATGAATTTTTTCCTGACTAATACAAAGTTATTCTTTTGAATGTATCCTTTAAATATGTGTCTTGATGCTCTAAAAAAAGTTTGTGGTTTATTTCTGATGGTTGATTTAAGGGCTATGACTTTTTAAAACAAAAGTATTTTTCTGCACAATTGTAATATACTTTGTATTAAAATAATGGAAGTGTGATGAGGACTCAACAGAGCAAAGAATTTTGGTTTTTTACATTTTAAGTATGTTAAGTATTCATTATGAGTTAATGTGAATGGTGTGCTGCAGCTGTGGAACAAGAATCTTTAGTTCAGTTAAAAGGAAAGAAAACCAACAGGCAAACCTGTTAAAAACTAAAGAACTGTTGTTTAATTTTTTAAAAAAAAAAAAAAAAGCTTCATTGAAGTTCACGCTTAAAGATACTGAGCCCTCTGGGTTTCAGAATACAAATAAGCAGCCATGGCTTACATTGGCAGCCAGACATGCTGTGTGCATGTTTGTACTTATCCAATGCTTGTATGCTTTATTTACATGTGTGCTGAGGACTCATCGTGCTCCCCTTGGGGTGTGGAAGGAGTTTAAACAATTAGGATGATGTGTTAGGATCCAAAGGGCAGATGAAGGGTACTCCTCTGCGAGTACTGCTTCACCAGTTGTTTTCAGTACTTCTTCACATACCGAAGACCTGCGTTAACATCTTGAAAGGGCAGAATACAGGCTGCACAAGCTCTTCCCCTCCTCCTAATGTGTGCTTTCAGTGCTCTGAAATGGCTCTCTGTCATCTCCCTCGCTCTGTCCTGGTTTGTCACCTTGTCTTTTGGTGAGATGGACACCTGCATTGATTGTGTGACTACTGGGACTGAAGTGGATGATGAAAATAGCTTAAAAGCTGGTAATGGGGTGTTTTATTTTGATTTAAGACCCTTTTGTTCCACCTGGAGGTGCAGCTTCCCACTTAGGCAGGCAACTAGTACCATACAGTTGTAGGTGTAGTATTTTAACTAGATTCAGTTAGTGGAAAGGAGCATTCAGCTTTCTTCCTAGTTTGCTTGTGCCT